ATTAAGAGATATGTTCTTCTCAATAATTAATCCGAAACTCTTCGCTGGAATTTTCTTATCACAGTGATAACCGTGAAAATATTTAATTTATCTATGAAAATATTTATCACGAGTGCACCATTGAAACAAGTTTTTCGCGTTAATAGAGATATTCTTCTCAATAATTAATACGAAACCCTTCATTGGAAATTTCTTATCACAGTGATAACTACGAAAATATTTATCAGAAGTGCAGTATCGGAATGAGTTTGTTCGCGTTAATAGACATATCATTTTCTATAATTAATACGAAACTTTGCATTGGAAGTTCTCTGTCACAGTGACATGATAAATATTTTCATAATTGAGTGTAATATTCTAGTTAATTTCTTAAGAAATAATAATTGCCCTATTAAGAGTAGGCATGTTTAGCATATTATTGCACTACACCGTGATAACAATTATACGTGAACAATATAAATTTGAATGAAGGGAACGATTTAAACGTACGATAGGGATATAATGAAAACATCAAGAATTCATTTGCAATGTAAACTCATGTGAATCATAAACAGATACTTATTAGTAGCGGTAATTTACTGCGAATAAATATTTATGAAGATATTTAAATGCCTATCGGTAATTTCCATACACTGCATTCATCATATTCTGTACCTATTTATATTTTTACCATGCCAAACAGCTTGTTTTTCAGGAAAGAAAAAAATAATTAACATTCCCCTGGAAAGGTGTATCTGGAACGGCTGTATAAACTAACACAACACTGTTTTTGAGATGCCAAGTTTGTGGATTACTGTAATACACACGATGGAAATAGAGAAAAATAACGATAGGGGTGAATTCTTCGTATTTCAATCTTCCTTTGTATATACATAGTTTGTATAAACGTTCAGTCGAAGAATAATCCTTTTCCCTTTAATAAAAGTCCCATTCTTTTGATTTTCTCTAAAACAGAGCTCTCAAAATTTTATTCTATATTTTCAAATTCGATTTTCTTGAAAGCAGAGCTCTATACGAAGAAATGTTATTTTACATTTTCGAATCTGATTGGAATATTCAAATTTGATTTTCTCTAAAACAGAGCTCTCAAAATTTTATTCTATATTTTCTTGAAAGCAGAGCTCTATACGAAGAAAGTTTATCCTATATTTTCCACATACTTTTCCATGAGAAATCACCTTTTTTCCGATTGTCCCACGATTTCTGTATTCACTCACCTTCAATATTCCTGTCTCTCTATGCACACTTACACGCTTCTTAGGCGACTAATTTTTAACAGAAAATACCTATGTTCACGCATTCTTATCCCCCGGTGCAATTCACAAGCCTGTGGTCTTCATCCCATCCGAAGAAACTCTCTCGGTACCGGCAATTTTTTGCGGAAAATCAAAGGATCCACAGGCAAGCAACAGAGTAGCAACGCACACGTGTAATCTGCCCGCGGACAACGTGTTTCTTTCGTAACTTTATGACACGTTCGGCCGAGCTTTCTAACGAATGTCCGTCGATTTCGCGCCGGGCCTTGTTCCACTTTTTTCACGCGCTCGTCGCGCCCGCCGTACACGGCGTCAATTAAAAGTCCTCGAAGGAATTTTCCCCGCGAACGCGTCTCATTAATACGACGTTCCAGGAATACTAACGCGAGCCGGCTGTCTTTCATTAAGAAAGAGACGCGCAAACCGCGGGTTTTGCGTTGCGCACCGAGCATAGCTATGGCCGTGATTAGGCGCGCTATGAAACGGGAAAAAAATCCTGTCGGCGATTCCTGATGAGTCTCGAGGTCTCGGGGTTTCGTTATAACTTGCCTGGAATTTCACAGGCTCATATTCTGCGAAAGTTATTCTTGCTTCCCTTTTTCCTTTTCCCTCTTGCCTCTGGCTCGCTTGATTTATGAAGAAAAGGATTCGACATGGTGTTCTGTGTTTTTCGAAATTGCTCGTCTTCCTTCGATATTTGCAGCTACGACTTTTTTATATGAATATGATTTTGAAATATAGGTAGCGTAGATAGGATATTCTTGACAATAATTTAAATGATAGATATTAAAAATTGTAGATTTTATATAAAATTTAAAATTTTCGCTATTTTTAGCTATGATTTTTTACATAAATATGGTTTCTAAATATAGTTGGCAAAAATATTAAAAATTTTTAATTTTATATGAAATATAAAATTGTTCCATTGTTGAATATTTTTTGTTATGTTTTTTCACATAAATATGGTTTCTCCTCTCTGATTAAATAATTAGCATAAATACTAGAGAGTTATTTAATTACTGGAAAAGGACTTGGAGGAACGATCAAAATGCAAACTTTGCAAACTGTTAATACACTCGTCAGAACGTCGAAGAATAACAGAGGAATCTAAGAAAAATTATACGAACTTACACTACAAAAGGCAATTGAATTAATGGCGCTTAAGTCAAATATTTCCCAACAACAGCAAAATTATTCATACGATTCGCAAATGTATATTTGCCAGCTGTGCATTTCAGCGATTCAACGAAGGAATGTCAATAACAAACGTTTCTCCATAAAACAAGGAAATTTAAATTGTAAAAATGGTCGATTAATAATTAGTGTCACGTTGATTTTATCTCATTATCTAGCTAATACTGAATTTCTTAGCGGACAAGTCTCACGACGTTCATTTTTTTCCCTCTTAATTACATGTTACAGGCGGCATATGCTGGTCTTCCATCAGCAACGGTCGCTGTAAGGAATTATTGTCGCAAGGAGTGACAAAGGAAGACTGTTGCGCTTCGAACGCGGCGGCAGCGACAGCGTACTCTGAGGAAGACCTCGATAGCGGAAGCCTCTTTTTTTGGAGAGTGCTCGGTGGAGGTGTGCAGTGTCGTCCTTGCAGAGGTAAATCAATTTTCGATCGCATTTCTGTCCTAAGTCTTAATCCTTTGAAAACTGATTCTCTGTTTAATGTTGAAAATATTCGAAATTTTATTCTCCATTTGATATTGAAAATAGTGAAAACTTGGTTCCTTCTTTAATGGCGAAAAAATTGAAAATTTGATTCTCTGTTTGACGTTGAAAATAGTGAAAATTTGATTCTCTATTTGACGTTGAAAATATGGAAATTTGATTCGCTGTTTAATGTCGAAAATAGTGAAAATTTGATTCGCTATTTAATGTGGAAGATATTGGAAATTGGATTTTCCGGTTGATGTTGAAAATATCGAAAAGAATTTAGTATTTTAACACAGCGCGAACCCTGGGGTTTATTTTATATATAGAAAAGTGTGACGTCCAAACATTCTTTCAATCGCTCTGCATTTAAATTAACGACAAAAGACTTTATTTCGAATTTTTGTCCTCTCAGAAAGTTGCACAGAGGTGAGGTGTGAGGAAGGGAAAAAATGCGTCGTACGTAGAGGAAGACCAAGGTGTGTGTGCAGCCCAGAGTGCAAAGCACCAAGAGGCGGAGGTCCGGTCTGCGGGACGGACGGCAAGAGTTACAAAAATCTCTGCAGACTGAAGAAACGTGCTTGCAAGAAGGGAAGCCACGAGCTAGCGGTTGCCTATAACGGCCACTGCCAAAGTGAGTATGTATGAAAGAGATGGAATCATTATCACGACTAAATTGCGATTGAATTATCAAAGATATGACCATTTCGAATTGGCTTCGTAATCAAAATTTTAAGTCAGTTTGCTCTTAATTAGAGAATTATTTTGTAATACTTGGAATTTTTTAATTTGCCAGTATGAAAATTTTGTGACACTATGAAAAATATAGCTATCAAAAATTTAGATTTTTCTTATAGCTGAAGATAAATTTTCTGAATTACACACAAAAAGGAAATGTGGTGACATGATAGTAGAGAAATTCGTAATGGAATTTTCGGAGATGTTCAATGGCAATAACTAAAACACATTAAGATAGTACTGCTGGTATCGATACTAATTTTCGAATTAATCGGAATGCAATCTTTTTTGCTCATATTTCTATTCTTATTTATGGAGTATGTGGCATATTTCTGTAAACTTTCTCTGGTTCTATTAGGTTAAAGCAAGAAAGTTTGTATCGGCATAAAAAGACTTAGCTTCGTCATGCTGGTAGTAAAAAGTAATTACATTCAACTTTCCTTACAATCAATTACAAAAAAAAAAGAAACATTAGCATATTTCCTTCACTAACGCTTATCTCCCTAATGTTACGAAAATAATTTAACAGCCATAAATAATCACGTGAAAACTATCGATAATTTCTGACCACTTCAGAAATTTGTTTCTCTCGAATGAATTGCAACATTCTGTTAAATCTCTGAAATTTACTTTACCAAGAAACTAGCTCTATCAGCACTTTCATCCACAAATCAGTATTTAAAATTTCCAAAATCAATCTTTAAGAACTGGTCAACCTTTATCAAACATCTAACGAAAATGACATCCAACTGTTTGGTCAAGAAATGTCACGATCCTCTCGATTGGCGCACAATAAGAACCCTTAAGTTTCCAAATACTAACTTAATAATCGTACGCAGAATTTAACACTCAACAAATCATTTGAACGATCTATTGCATTTCTCCTTTTCGACTGAGTTCACATAATTGTTCACGCTTCAAGAGATACTGAAAACAGCACCAAAGTCAACAAATTCTCTCACAGAAATGTATTCTAATTGCTAATAAAATAAAAACGACAAACATAATTGCTACAGAGCCACCAAACTTCTATCGCGATGGTATTCGCAAGGCGCGAGAAAAATGTCAAAAGGTCATCAACAATGGAAATCATTTCTCCGAGTGATCTATTTTCATTCTTCCTAAGCAAAACTTTGATTCTACCCAAACGTCGGAAAGAATTCACTTCTACACCTAACAAATCCAAAATTGTATCATTACACGACCTCACCTCACACGTCAACCCTTTCGAAACGCCCCTGGAGAAAGAAAGCGGGAGAGAGAGCGAGAGAAGGATTGGAAGTGGTCAGAAAATCGCGGCCGTTGGTTGCAGACGCATGCGTGCATGCCGGCGGCCGCGCGAAAAACAAACAGGGAATGCGACGCATCTATCACAGGGGCGGTTTACGACTGTGCGTAATAACGTGTAAAGTGTCGAGCAGGTTCGTGCGCACGGGTCCGGTGCGGCCAAGGCCGGAGCTGCCTGCTGGACCAGAACCTGAGCCCGCACTGCGTGAGGTGCGCCCGCAGGTGCCCCCAGCCGCCCCCGCAACAGCGAGCCGCTGCACGCCCCGTTTGCGGGGCCGACGGAAACACCTACAAGAGTGCCTGCCACCTGCGACTCGCCGCCTGCCGCGCAGGTCGCGCCATTCCCGTCGCCTATAAGGGCCACTGCAAACGTGAGTCTCTCCTTTTACTCTTTCCACCTTTCTTTATCTTCGCCACCTCGCCCTCTATTCTCGTGCTCTTTTTCCCACACACCCCTGTGACTTTACGGACCGTTGTTTTCATCGCTCGCTTACTCCCTTTCTTACCTTGTTCCTCGCTATCATTCTCGCCCTTTGATTCTGTCTCCCTCACTCTCTCATTTTTTTCTCTCTCTTTCCCCTTTTTGTCATTCTGTCTCCCTCATTCTCGCCCTGCTCTATCTCCATCATCCTCTCCCATTTATTGTCTCTCCCCCTCTCTGCTCCATCTCTATCATTCTCTCCCTTTCATTCCCTCTTCCTCTCTCTGTGCCGTCTCTGCCATTCTCTCTCTCACTCTCTCCCTCGCCGTTCTGCCCCGTCTCTCTAGCCACTGTTTGCCTTTTCCTCGCCTTCTCTTTGCCGTCTCGTCACGGGCTGCTTTTTAGTCGGTTCTCAGCGCAGCGATGCACAGCCGAACGTCTCGATCGCGCTCTCGCTCGCGGGGAAATCGTAAATATCAGACGAGCAACAGTGGCGAGACGGTCGATAGGGGCATCGTGTCCTTCCTGCCGGGAGGGGCGAGTGACGGCGTTTGTTTTGTCTGCGAGACGGTGTTGAGATGTGGGAAAACGGGGGCTGTTGTTGTCGATTGATTCAATATCGTCTCCCTCTCTGCACTTCCTTCCACCTGCCTTCTTATCTTCCACCTTTCTTCTCCTTAGTTTTCTTCTTAAATGTTTGTATTATTTCTTCGAAGTTTCACCGCGAAATGTACACGAAGTTTCAATCGAACGTTCTTTTTCTAAGCTAATAGAATTGACTACCCCTTTTCGTTTATCCTTTTCACCGTTTCAAGTTTAACAATTGTTACGCTACCACTTTGAAGAACTAGCGCAAATGTCAGAGGTTGAATTGCTCTGTGAGAACGCTCGCGTGCATTTTGCGCTTTCTTTCGAAGGCACTACCTGTTGCTTCTCACGTGAAAGAGCGATTAAACGCGGGAAAACGGGTGTATACCGCAGAGTGGCTTTTATATGGCTCGATGCAACTGGTGAATAAGAATTTTTTCTCAATTCGAACTGACGGTAACGTTGCAATTAGACTTCATTCCGACGCAACATTTTTCTGACACTTTTGAAAAAGGATTAACCGTCTATAACACCATGTGACTTGGAAATTACACACCGTGCACTTATCTATTGGATCTACAAATTAATTCCGTGCCCCGTTTCATAAATTTCAATGTTTATCTAACCTTTCAGACGGAAATTCAATCTCCATTGTTTATAACCAATTACTTCCTCTTCCTTCTTGCAAATGTGAATATGATCTATTTTACGTTCAATACGGACACAACAAAATAATTAAAAATGAACAATCCCTCGATAAATAAATTATTGTGCTCTAAGTATTAGGTACACAGTAGTTTTACACAGTTAACGCGTTAAAAAACATTACACTTCATTATTATAAATTATTTTGTTGTACTATCAATTTTTCCTTCTATCAAAATTTAAAGCTGCAATCAGTCCCAATTTTCCTTCTCGTGAACACAGAAAAATAGGGTTATAGAGGGTTGAAAAACCAAATATCTCAAGAAATGCGTAACTTTCGTTCACTAACGATACATATTACACAATTTAAAAACCACAGAGTACAGTGTACTCGAATTATTTCTTCTCAGGAACACAGAAAAATAGGGTCACAGAGGGTTAAAACACCCAAAACCGAAAATATCTAAATCTAAAAACCCTAGTGTACAGTATAATCAAATTATTTCTTCTCACGAACACAGAAAAATAGGATTACAGAGAGTTAAAAACCCCGAAACCCGAAAGTCCCCCGAATCGTTCAAATTACTCTACCAAAACATCAAACAACAAATCTTCCGGGGTCAACGATCCCATCGCAGTCTCGATCAGAACATCGAAGCAATCTTCGTCAAAAATCGTGGAACGATTAAATTCCGCCGATATCACCCGAACGCTTCTCGACCAGGTAAAACAGACGCGGATGTGTTTCCTTTATTGTCGGTCCGTGCGAAAAAAAGGCGGCACGAAAGCGCGCATGGAAAAGAGGCGAGCAGGAAAGGGTAAAGGACGGAGACGAAGGAAAGGAGTAAAAAGAAAAAAAGAAAAAAAAAAAGAACGGAGAAGGAAAGTTCAGTTCATTGGTGAGCAGGCGAGTAGCCAGACTGCCGCTGCTTTGCATCGGAATGTACCTTATTGTTGTCTGGTTTGCACAGTGCCGAATTCTTCTGACAGGTGCCATAAAGTCACCGAGCGAAGTTATGTCCAAACAAGAGTTCGCAAAGAATAATAAAATCCTGCGCCTGTACGAGTGTTTACAGCGAATCGCCTTTCGACCTCCTTTTTCTACCTAACACAACTGTTCCGTCTGCGAATTTATTTTACCTGCCAACTATTTCGTATTCCTCGCGATCCTTCCTGGACAACCATTGCGAGACTACGATTAAACTATATTCTGTTTAATTTGATCGGTGCGACCTAACAGGGGACGATTCTGTGTGGAAAAATGAACCGAAAATTTGTTTACGAAAGGCCTAGCTTCGAGAAAATTGAATTCAAAGACTCTTTGAAAATTATTGCTTCTGTTTTAATGTCACCTTTCGCAAGGGAACAGTCTACGCAAAGACTAGTGTCGATCTTCTGCAGCTGAACGAAAAAATGGTACAAGGTTTCGAATAATTAACTCTTTGCAATCGTTGCTTCCACTCGTACTTTTACGCAAAGAATAGCGTCAATCTTCTGCAGCTGAAGGAAAAGATCGTACAAGGTTTCGAATAATTAACTCTTTACAATCGAGCGGCGACTGAGAAACGGCATTAAATAATTGTCACTTGGTAAGTAATTAACGAGGATCCTCTTGGAGCTGATATTTTCTTGATGTAGCAGATCTACGAGCCCCCATAAACTGTTCACTATAGGTATATCAGATGTCTAAAGAGTGAAGTAGTTTGGGCGAATTAACCTCGATAATAGACATCGAAATAAGATAGTACACTTAATTTCTACGTTAATTTCAAATTCCCATTTCGTAGCAAAATGAACTTCGAGTGTAAAGGGTTAGAGCACCAAAAAACCGTGCATCGTCCACGATTCTCATGCAAAGAGCGAGGATTTGTATGCGTTTCGTACGCCACTTTCAACAATTCGTTCGTTATTATAAATAATTGTCGATAAACGTATCACCCGCACTGTTAACCTTAATTATACGCAGGGTATTTTCTATAACTACGCTTAAATTATAGTGTAAAAGTATAATACTTAAACTAAATTTACCAGTGGTTGCTTGTTGTCACGTTCATCGTCCTTCCTGTATCACTGCTCGAATACGACTACGACTGCTCTGGGCATAATGTCGACGAGCCTATTCCGAAACATTGGTTTGTTTGTTTATACTAGAGGTCGTTATTTCATAACACGTTCAACGCGGTATAGAAGCGAAATTCACGAAACGCTTACTACTATAAACGTTTCTTATAAAATGTGTATTTCCATTATCTAATATTTAATTTTTCAGTGTGTAATTTGAAAATATGATGGTCCACACCACATTGTGGATTATGCTCTGTATTCGATCCTTTTTGCCATCGTTTTGAATGACCCACCGGTGGGTGACGTTGACAAACGAGAGTATCGATGACCCATCGCGTTGGCAAACGAGAGCATGGGTGACCCACCGGTGGGTCACACCGTTCTGAACGTGTTAATTTGCAATTACCTTGTCAATAGATACAAATCTAAGTCGAGACATATATAAACAAAGTTAACCCTTTGGTCCCTGTCGGGCAGTACCGTGGAGATTGCCTATATTTCAAAATTTCAGTGTACTATTGGTTATAAAATATTAAGTTTCAGTATAATATTAACGCATAAAAGAATGGCTTCTTATCGTTTGTAATTTACAATTCACCATTGTATGATATCTGAAGGCGAAAATTTATATGTCGAGTTTGACTCGAAAGGGTTAAGTCGATTTTCTCGAAAATAAAGCCTTAAATTAGAAAAATTTTTTCTATTTTTTCACGTAGAATCATCCCGTTTTTGGTTGTACCATCAATATCACGACACTCTGCGTAATTTGTACAATATTCGATTTTACAGCTACGATTTGTTACTTTTCAATACACCACCGTGTTTGCATCGACTTTCTTTCTCATTTCTGATCGTTACGGACACCCAGGCATCTCTAATTTGATTTTATTACCATCTGCAATTTTATAAAGCTTCCTTCCACGAATGAAGAGTGAGATCTTCCTTCTCGGAAGATAAATTCCGCCGTATTGTTCTCTTTTGTCGGCATTCTTTCCTGCTTGTTCCTAGTCGCTTGATCTTTCAACCGTTACATTATCCTTCTTCCAGGGATAACAGATCCTGGCCGTGTACGTATTCCGCGAATCGCTTTGTTACCTCCTCCAAGCTCCTTTTCATTGTCTTTACTTCTTCTCCATGGCAAGTCTTCTTTTTTTCTTCTTCTTCTCGCTGCCAATTGGTTTTAGTTAGTGTTACCGGTCTCGAAAATACAAGACCGGCGAGAAACTTGGCGAAGTATGAAACGTTAAATACTCGGTCGGGAGCAGCAAAAATGCGTTTTATCTGCGTGTTTGAAATTTAACTGGTTCCTCTGATTCGTCGGGAAACGTGCTAATCGATCGAAGCATTGTGCAAATACAGGGAGCTCTCACATTTCGACGGAGTCAAAGATCTTTTTTAGCAGAATGGCGCCTTTGTGAGAGCACACTCGGCGTAAATTCTCTTTATCACCGGGCAATTATCGACTGACGGGATGATTAGGAACCGCTTCGCAATATTTCCAACGTGTATAATCGACGGTGGTTTTAGCATTTCGGTGTTCAATCAGGGAATAAAAAATTCAAGTCAAACGGTCCTTTAAATTTAGGCGAGTTCAGTATTTAATGTCCAATGCAGATATAAAAAATTTTAATGGAATGGTCCTTTAAACTTAGG